GCTAAGATGCGACAAGGAGAACTTTGTTACACTAGAGAAAAAGGATCCCTGACAAGTTAATTGATATTGGAGTTTATCTTCATGTTCAGACCGAAAGTCTTTAAGCACTTCTTTGGTTGAGTTATAAAAGTCGTATTGGATATTAGTATGAGTATTAGTAGATTTCCACAGTTCGTTGATTGATTGATTTGGAGAAAGTTTTAAAGCTTTTCGAAGAACTGTTTGGCATTGGATAAATTTCACCGATGGAGGATATATACTTTGACCAAATTTGTTGCGAGTTAGAAAAACAGTACTTAGTGTTCCTGAGATTGGAATTTCAAGCCATTTACGGATGTACTGGTTGACTACGGGATCAATATTTTCAATAACCCATGTTTTAGAAAGTGTTGCGATGGTGAAATGCCACGATATTTTGGATAAGACATAACGACTGTATACGAGAAGCTTATTTCTTGGGTGGAGTGGCTTCGAGTCAATATCAGTCATTAGTTCGTTAACGAGAGTGGTTAGTTCAGTCTTATGGTTATCGTTCGACATGTTAAAATCAAAGTAACGTCCTAAATATTGAAATGCTTCTCCAATCTTTACTGTTGGTATCAGATTATTGCTGATGATGAGTTTCGGCAAATATTGGACTGATTTTGTGATGGCTTTCTTGATGCCAAAGGTACTACATTTATCGACTCTGATAATCATATTGGACCATTGGCACCAGATGGAAAAACGATTTAGAAGGTGCTGGTTTTCAGATTCTTGGCCAGTGATTACGGCTGCGTCATCAGCGAATTGGAACCAGTGGATAGGATTTAATAGCTTGAAGGAGAAGCCAAACTGACGGTACTTTTCAGCTTTGATATGTTGGATAAAAGTATTGAAGCACATATTGAAAAGAAGAGGACTGAGGAAATCTCCTTGCAATACGCCACGGCCAACAGATATAAAAGGGGTGCGGAATTCGGAGGTAATTATTGAGGTTTGGAACTCAGTGTATAAACTTTTTATAACGAATTTTATGTGTTCTGGGATGTGGTGGTAGTCGAGTACTGATTGGATGAGATTATGATGGACTTCGCCGAAAGCATTCTTCAGATCAAGTAAGGTGATGACAACAGCACGTTGTCTGATCCGGGCTTTGTTGATAATGTCAGCCATTTGCGCAGTGTGTTCTAGAGTGCCAGATAGGTTAGGGGTGAAGCCCTTTTGTATGCCGTGTTCGATAAAGTTATTTGATGCGAGGAAGGAATATATTGCGTTTCGAAGACAAGATGTAAATACTTTTAATGGTATAGACTCAAGTGTTATGGGACGGAAATTTGACGGATCATCAGTGTTACCTTTCTTATGTATTAATATAGTACAGGCTTTTTTCCACTCATTCGGGACAGTTCCAGACAGCCACACTTCATGAATTAGTTCACTGAGGTAAGTTCTCAGATAAGGACATCGCTTAAAACATATTATCGAAAGCTGATCAAGGGGACAAGGAGAGCCAGACGATTTCATTTTACGTATCACATTAGTAATTTGTTGATAAGTCGGGGGGTCAAGGTTGAATTGAACTTCGGGATCAGATAACTTTGGTATCCAGCTGGGAATGTTAAACAGTCTATTGGGGTTAATTTTAGCCAGAGATTTAGAAAAATAAGTAAAGCAATCTGTCACGTTAAATGATGGTAATATTGAGTCCTTCTTATTGATAACGTTTTTAATATAACCCCAAAAGTTCCGTCCGATATAATTGTCATGATTGAATGACTCATTGCTATCAGAGGTTAGCCCATCCTTGTTATTATTACGAAGCTTATCACGCAATGTGCGGGAGACGTATTTAATTTCACTAAGGTCACCTTTGTTGGATTTTAAATTTTGCAAGGCTTTCTTTAACTCCTTTACAGTATATTCTTTATATTTAGTAACCATGTTTTTGTCAGGTACCGTTTCGTTATGTCCAAAGTTATCAGCAAAGTAGTTATATATAACGTCGTTCAAAAGCTCGATCTTTGAGTTCACGTCTCGCATTCTGATTGGATCATCTAACTGGAGCGCACATTTAAAATAATCATTAGCCGTTTGCCACCCAGAGTCATTTTTCGGTAAATTTATGCCTTGTTTCAGTTCGGGAAAACTTTCGTCATTTGTCATATCAATGTCGTTAATAGAATTGTCATTTTCGGTGGTATCTGCAGTGTTATCCGTCGTTATTTGCTCTTCAAGGTCAGCAGACAGCTCGTCGTTAAGGCCATGTATCACTTGACAACTACGCTGATGCATTTTAAGGCCACGCGCACCTCTGCATATCTTGCCACAACAACACTTAACAACAGTGCGGCTTGGTACAGGAACATTAGGTGACTGCATAACAGGCACATCTCTCGATGTAATATTAGGGCGGTCTTGCTCAGCGTGATTAATCCGTTGTTTACATTGCCACGAATGGCGACCAAGCGAGACGAAGTCTTGTCCACAAAACGAACAAGCGACACAAATCGATAACATAGCAATAATGCTTGAACGAATCATAATGAAAATCTTTTTGTGATGAACAATATTAAGAATTATTAAGAAATACTGTGATTCAAATACGAAATCAGCGATGAAACTATTGACATGTACAGAGCACGTATAAACGTCTCTCTGCTCGATGTAATAATAATAATAATAATAATAATGTCTGAAGTTCAGTAAGTTTTTCTTATATGGCTGTAAATATGGCGTCAATTTTAAAGCAAGATTGATATAATTGTATTTTAATTGACAATTTTTAACTATTATTTTAAGTTTCTCAACCGGCAGATGCATTTAGAAAGGTAGCTGACTCTATAAACTAGAGAATAAAGCCAAAACAAAGTAATTTTGAGAGGAACGCCAAAAAGGTTTTAGGTTTTGAACACTTTTCATTGCAAATACGTGACATTGAAAAAAATTGCCTCTTAAATATTAACGAATTGGGAAATGTTCTTATACGTAATATAGGCTTCAATTCAAGATAAAATTCAACCACAAACGCTTCGCAAAATGTTTTAAAGTGTTCTTTATAAAACTAAACAGCCTTTTAAATGACTTTATCGATAAACTTTGAGTTTGCAATAAAATGATTTCAAATTCTCGCCTGAAAATAACTTTGCTTTCTTTTTTATTTAAAAAATTCAATATAATAAAAAAGGGAATCAATATTAAAGTTACACTGAAATTATATGCTGTCTTGTTTAGTTGTTTCATATACGCAAAGGCCGTCGGGTTTTAAGTACATTATAAAATCAATATTTAAAACAAACTTACCTTCGTTAATGTCGGCTCCCTTCTTTTAACCAATTCTTTCGCCCATTCTTTATGAGAAAACTTTTGAAATTTACAAAATCTTGCAAAAATGCGAGTAAAAAATTCATCAATCATCAAATCAAAGAGTAAAGATATATACTTCCTCTGTGATCAAGTCAAGAAATGTTTGCTATTTCGCTGTCGTCATGCAGTCGTTATAATGCAAATTTTAAATTGGACCAATCAGTATCTGCTATTCATGACAGTCCGCCATATATTTGAGATCAGTAAGGATGACCACCAACGGTTGGTCACCCACGCCCGCGATATTTGATGAACTTTAGACTCCGCTAATGCTTTCGTTTCCCCGGGTGTAAATAGCCGGGGGGAATTAGTACCCTCGCACGGCGCTCGGGGATAAAGTATGTAATGGTTTGAGCATGTTTTCACCAAATTTCCGGATCCCGACGAAATTTGATGCTTACAGTCTAAACTAAATATTAGCGAGTTTACGATTGACGCCGCGCTGCACGAAGACGCAGTAGAGAAAACTGGTAACGAGCGCGGTCGGAGCGTTGCACTCTTCTCGCATATTTTAAGTTGCGAATCACGACGACCAAACCACGACGCACATTTATTTTGATTCAAAATGGCGGAACAACTTTTTATGATGTATGATGAAAATATGATTGATGATGAGGAATTATTGTTGTTGTTAGAATAAAACGAACGTAGTAACTTACACATTGCTCTTCCGTACTGGACGTACGAAATATTTAGCCTTGAGGATATGAGAGACGACGAGTGTGAAGTTGAAATGCGTTTCAAGAAAAATTATATTTACAATTTGGCTTTTTCCTTGAAATTACCTGAAATTTCCGGTGCTATAATGGTTTGGTCGTTGACTCTGTTGAAGCTCTTTGTGTTTGCCTAAAACGGTTTGCAAATCCATGTAGATATGCTGACTTAGTACCGAGATTTGGTCGGCCTGTGCCACAACTGTGTATGATTACCAACACTGTAGTTGATGACCTATATGAGAGGTACGCACACCTGTTTGAAGACCATGACCAACCGTGGTTGTCTCCAGAAAACCTACAACTGTATGCGACTGCGATACATAATAAAGGTGCTGCAATTGACAATTGCTGGGGATTTGTTGATGGAACAGTTAGGCCAATTTGTCGACCAAAGCGGAATCAAAGAGACGCTTACAATGGCCACAAGCGAGTACATGCTTTAAAGTATCAATCTGTCGTGGCACCAAATGGATTAATAGCTAATTTGTATGGTCCAGTTGAAGAAAAAAGACATGACAGCAGAATGCTTACAATGTGTGGTCTTTTAGAGAAGCTTCAAGAGCACTCTTATTCGCCTACTGGTGAAGTACTCTGTTTGTATGTGATCCAGCTTATCCCCATTGAGTTCACCTCCAGCGTCCCTTTATAAGGCGGAGTGCGTCAACCTTAAACAAGCAAGTGTTCAATCGCTCAATGAGCAGAGTCTCAGATTATCTGTTGAATGGGTTTTTGGGGACATAGCAAACTATTTTAAGTTCATTGACTTCAAAAAAACCCTCAAAATTGGACTAAGTGCTGTTGGCAAATTTTATGTGATACTGTATGTGCTCTTCTAAGAAATGCTCTTACATGCCTGTATAGGAACACAACATCTGCATACTTTGAGATTGCTCCACCAAACCTCAATGAGTACTTACAGTAAGAACATTGTTATGGACACTGATCATTATCGCAAGAACACTGAAACTTACTTTATTATCCGTAATCTCTTTATTAAGCCGCTCTCAAATAAAGCCCCAGTTACACAATACCAGATTCGTATTGGAGCGACATCCATTTAAGGTGTTTTCCAGTCTTGTCTGCTATTACAACTTTTCATATATGAAGTTTTTGTTTAATTATGTTATATACTTATATTATCATAATTTTAGGTGCCAAATTCACCTCGAAGCGGTAAAATTTGATGTCGCTCTGACGCGAATCCGGTATCGTGTAACTCGGGCCTAAGTATCACCTTTTAGATGAAGAAATTTATTAAGCCCCCCCCCCCCCC